CTGCTGCTGCCACTGCTGCTGCTTTTGCTGCTGCTTCTGCTGCTGCTGATGCTGCTGCTGATGGCTACTGCTACTGCTCCTGATCCTGCTCCTGCTGCTCCTGCTCCTGCTCCTGCTCCTGCTCCTGCTGCTACGACGAGGAGGATATGGACTTGCTCATGTAGCACATGTGACATGTACAATCCCCTAGATCATTTACCTTCACAGTTTCATCGCAGAATTCCTCGAGCCCTGATCCTACTCATTACTCTGTTGTAACGGCTAATAGCACCCATCCCCGAGACATCATCAACAGCGACCTGAAACTTTAAGTGCACAGTCTAGTTGCTGAAACCGTGAGCCTTGTTGAGGTGTGGTAGAGCAAGCACGTCATTAAGCCCCCTTCCCCCCCACCCTCCCCAAAACACCGATGCAGCAAGAATGAGAGCACAGTTGAGCAAAATAGAGGAGTTTGTGGGGGGACGAGTGGGCCCAGTCACTACTACTACTACTACTACTACTACTACTGCTGCTGCTGCTGCTGCTACTACTACTACTACTACTACTACTACTACGGCACTACGACGACTACTACTACTACTACTACTAGTACCATTATCATTATTACTACTACTACTACGACGACGACGACTACTACTACTACTACTACTACTAATATCAAGAACAACCATAATTACTATTCTTATCACCATTATTGTCACTGGTACTAGTACTACTACTACCACTACCACTACCACTACCACTACGACTACTACTACTACTACTACTACTACTGCTGCTACTACTACTACTACTACTACTACTACTGCTACTACTGCTACCACGACCACTGGGGCTATTACCGCCATTACTGCTAATATTGCGAATGCGACTGCGACCGAGTCTATGCCTACGACTTTTACGGTTACATCGAGCATTATCCCTGCCAACACCAGTACCAGGCTACGACTACCACTGCCGCTACCACAACGACGACTGTTTCTGCTGCAGCGCCCTAGGAAGGATGACGACAGCACAACGAAGATGTCGTGCCTTCACCGCCGTCACGGCAGCAGCCGCAGCAGCAGTGCTGGAAGAGTATCTATAGTGTGCAACAGCAGATATGACAGCCTCAGTGTGGTGATGATGGTGTTGTGCAATCATGCTTTTGCGGGTGGGCAATCGGAGCCCTTTCACGTGAACACAAAACGGCGCCTGCCATGTCCTCCCTTCGCAAGTGGTTAAATGCTCGGAACAACCCCTAAACGAACCCCAAAACCTATAAGCCCCACAACCTAAGCCTATAAGCCCTAAACCCTGAGCCTAAAAGCCCTAAAAAGAGGACGTCTTGAAGCGACTGGTCTCACCGGAGATCGACGAAGCCCTGTTTAACCTGAACGGCCTCGAGAAGCCCATCGGGGTGGAAGGCCGCTACCGGTTTCGGGGTTTAGGGTTTAGGGCTTTGGGTTTAGGGTCTAGGGTTTAGGGTCTAGGGTTCAGGGTTTAGGGCTTTGGGTTTAGAGTTTAGGGCGTAGGGTTTGGGGCTTTGGGTTTAGGATTTAGGGCTTAGGGCTGAGGGTTTAGGGTTCAGGGTTTAGGGTTTAGGGTTCAGGGTTTAGGGGTTAGGCTGCCTATTTGAAGTGAGCCCAGCGTTTATCGTAAGGAACCTTACTACTGTAGGGGCCTTCATAAATTGAATCGGGTTTTGGTGGTTTGTTATACTATATTGATAGTACGGAGCCACCAAGATATTCAGGCTTCCATATTAAGCGGGTAAGGGGAAGGGGGTAGGGGCCGTGATACCCCGAATAATGACCTCAGAAGGGTTAACAAGGCCTATTCTCAGAAAGTATACCCCCCTGACCACTCTCCCATACCCCCTGCACCCTAAACCCTAAACCCCCGCTTAAGGTTCCTCATGGGTTTAACTATCAAGTCTGTTCCTTGCCGGGAGTCGAGTATGATCAAGGAGCCTGAGAACAAACCACCCTGGTCCTGGATCATCCTAAAGCCTAAACGCTGAGCATTAAGCTTTAAACATCCAAACCCTCGCGCCCTGAGCCCTTAACGCCCTGAAAGTGACAGGCTCCATATCAAAAGCACTCCTAAACCCAACTTGTTCCTACACATCAGCGGTTGAACGTGGAGAGATGTGCTCTTGCGGTTGGAGGCTTTGGGTTTAGTGTTCAGGGTTTAGGGTTTAGGGGTTTAGAGTTTAGGGTTTAGGGGTTTAGAGTTTAGGGTTTTGGGGTTTAGGGCGCAGCAATTGCGATGATGAGCACCATCATGACAAGAAGGACGGCGGTCGTGACGAAAACATCGAAGCATCAAGGCATTGCCCTTTCTGTTGCTATTCTGTGGTTTACGGGTTTAGGGTTTAGGGTTAAGGGGTTTAGGGTTTAGGAGTTTAGGGTCGAAAGTGTTTTTTTACGGATAACCCTACTAACAGGAGCAATCTCAATAAGGACTCGCTGCCAGCACCATCTTGATCGTCATCAGCAGCAAGACCAACGACACCAGTACCGTGACCCCTATGGTCAACGCTCTCAAGTTGAAGTTTTTCTCCTGATCCGGGTCGTCAGCGTAATATACGGGTCGGAATAGGTACTGATACTAGTTAAACAGTTAGCCTTAATATGAAGGGTACGTTGAATGATATATTCTCGCACGCCTTTCTTTATTTTCATTGTCTTGTTCGGTGATCCCAACCAAGAACAAACGAGTTTGGCGGAAAGGTACATGTGTTCAGGTAGGGAAATTGCGCAACAAACCCTAAACCCAAAGCCGTAAAGCCTCCTCGACGGTGGATTGCTGGACGGAAAAGGGCCCTGACAAAACCCTAAACCCTAAACCGGACTTACCGTAGTCCGGCCTGGCATGTCAGGGCTGGGGGGTGAGGTTTGCTTCCAGTTTTTTTCTAGGGTTTAGGCTTGCTTTGAGCTTCTAGGGTTATATATGACCAAGGTTGACGGTGTAGTTTCGAGGGCTCTATATTATAACGTTTTTGTTTTTAGAACTTTGGAGGCTAACCCCTAAACCCTAGAACTTTGGAGCCTAAACCCTAGAATTTTAGAGCGAGAACTTTGGAACGCCTGCGGTTTGGCAAGCCGTTCAGCTCTCCAAAGCGAAAAGCCCAGAAGTTTAGGGTTTAGGGGTTGAGGGTTTAGGGTTTAAAGTTTAGGGGTTTAGGGTTTAGGGGTTTAGGGTTTAGAGTTTAGGGGTTCAGGGTTTAGGGTTTAGAGTTTAGGGCTTTGGGGGTTTAGGGTTTGGGATTTAGAGGTTCTTCAGGGTTCAGGTACTTGAAGGATCAGTAAATTAGGGGACGTAATAACGGCGGCTCTGACAAAGGTAACGGTAGCTAACCTGGTTATAAACCATCAACCCTAAACTCTAAACTATAACTCCAACTCAAGCTCTATAGCCTTACATGCTAAATCCCGTGAGCCTCCATAAGTAGGGTCTAGGGTGATTCTAGCCCCAAGTCGTCCTCGGGCACTGGGGGTCCTGAACCTCCCAGTGGGCGGGTTCAGGTAGATGTGGCTCCATGGTCCTGAACCGCACACTCCAACCCCTTAATCCTGAACCCTAAACCCTGGCAAAGAGACCAACACCCTAAACTCCAAACCCTGAACCCTAAACCCTGTAAGCCCTA